GCTGCCGGTGACACCGTGCTCAGCTGTGAGCTGGCACCAGGTGGCACTGCGCGTTAACGCTGCTCTGCTCCCGCTCTGCACACGCTGCCGCCTGTGTTCCAAGAGGAACAGATGTCCACTAACACACTCCTAGGAGTTTCCTTTGCATATGTTCTTCCATCTGTGTTGGAGAAAAGCATAGTTCTTGTTATCAAACATTATATTTTATGTTGTAAGAGTTTATGTTCTACTTAACACAAGTTTGGAGTGTAACCCCTCCAGAACAAGAAAAAATACAACCCAAAACATTCCAAACCCCTTGTGAACCATAAAATGTTCAGAGCACTTTCCACTTGCAGTTTGGTGAGTTCTCAGCAGGAGTTCTCCAGTCTTTTCTGTTGTTTATTTGTTCATATGTGGTTTTGTTTGCTTTGCAACCCTAATGCTGCCAAAACAGTCAGCTCCCTGAGCCTGCATTTCAGCTTGTTCACAGCAGGCAGGTGGGGGGAGCTTTGGTGGTGCCTGCATGTCAGACATGTCCCTGAGGAGCTGGAACACTTTGGAATATGTTAATTATCAAAAGTCAGATTGGGTCAGTGCAGGTGTAGGTCAGACACGAGAAGATGGTTTGGTGCTGTTTGTAGTGCAGGATTTTGTTGCAAAGGGCTGGATGAGAAATGAGCACCTGTGAGATTTTGCCTGTAACAGAAATGATTATTGAAAGAAGAAACTCCATGAGAATTGAAATCTTGCTGCCTCTTCTGATGCACTACAGCATTTCAAAACAGTTTATTTTCAAATAACCTTATTATCCTTCACTTCTGTAGTCATGATAGTGAACTTTTTCATACAAATCTATTAATAATGAAATCAAATGCTGTCAGCTCTCCCCTATACCTAGATTCAGGTAGAAAACACTACAGATAATCTAATATTAATCTTGTGTGCTTTGAAAGCCACTAATTGAGAAAATTGCACTGGAGTTGTGGTGGATGAGCTTCATACTGGAAATACCAACAAAAAGGAGTTCCCTTAGTGTCATTTGTATTGAAATGAGATGGTGATAGGTGTTTTCATCATCCGCTTAAAATTTCATTTTACTAAATAAATATCTATTTAGCTATTCTCAATATTCACCAGTTTCTTATTTTCTGAAATGTTTTGTACTAACGTGTCACTGTAACAAAAGATGAATTACAGATAAATCTTTCAGGTGCTGCAGTCATTGCTCCTTCCCCAGCAGGGAAGAATCTGTTGGAATGGGTGTGCTAAGGACTTACTTCTAACATGAAATCCCAATTTCTGAAGAGTAATTAGCTTGGGATTCAAACCAGGACTGTGATTGTTCTCATACTTCCTTCTTTGTGTTGTCTGTGAGGATGATGAATAGGCCAGTGTGATTAATTTTTAATAAGAATCTAATTTGGATGGTCTCATTTCCAGCACAGCATATTTTTGGTGGTTTAATCAGGTTTTCAGCTTTTGGATACCTCTTAGGCATAGGCATGAATATTCCAGTCTTTGTGCTGTCAGATCTTATAGCCCATTATATGCTTTTTTTCCAGAATACTATATTCATTCAGCCTGTGTTTCCTTGTGAAAGCCAAACCTGCAGATTTTCACCAACCCTTCTCTTGCTGTTAACTGTAAATGGTTAACATGTTTTTTAAAGATAATTTCCTTCTGTCAAGCAAAGGACAGAGAAATATCTCATTTCATATAAACTCATTTTCCTACATGACTGAATTTTCTAAGTCTGGACAAGCCCCCTCATAATGAGAATTTGAAAGAATATAGTTGAGGGGATTGTGGAGAATTTGAAGACGACTGTTGGGAATTTCCTTGAAGATCAAGAAACCATCTGTTTTCTTCAAGACAGTAAATCTGCTGAAAAACAGACTGAGACTGACTCTGGATTACTACTCCCCCTTTGCCTACCAGCCTCTCTTTATCTGCCATGTGTAGGCTTTGATGGACTAGAAAGCCTGAATAATATCCAGGACTTTTAGTCCATTTTAAAAATGGAATAGAATATGATGGAGAAAATTATTTGCTTGTTATTTTAAGAGAAGAGCGATCTCAGAAACCAGTGATTGTTAGAATGCAATATTTTGAAAGGCAGGTTCTTTTTCATCTTCAGCAATAGTCCCTGGAAGCATCATCTCTTTTGGAAAGCATCATCTCTTTTGGAAAGCATCATCTCTTTTGGAAAGCATCATCTCTTTTGGAAAGGAGCAGAGCAGACGCAGCCTGAGGGGTGAGCAGCAGATGTGGGACTGGGGGCAGATTCCTCCTCCCGGTGCCACAGAGGTCCTTCACTATTTTCTGCCCTGGGAGGGCACAGTTGGCACTCTGTGTGTTCAGCAGGAGTCCCAGGGGCTGTGTTTGCTCTCAGAGGGTTCACATTAACCAGGTGTCTCTCCGTGGTGCTGACTTTGACTACAGTGAGCCAGAGAGCTCCTCTGCTCTGCAGGGTAATGTCACATCAGGGGAAGATTATTCTATAGTGCTAAAAAGACTAGGACATAAATCCTGCTTTCCTTCTTTGCTCATCTAGGCCTGCTGATCTACTTGGACCTATTTATCCACATGCCATTTATGTAAGCCTGACCTCCACTGAGGCATTTATCCCTCAGAGTGACCTATTTTGCAGAAGGATCTTTCACTGAGTCAGTGTGACACCTGTCCCTGAGAAAAATCCTAGTCTGGATAATGGAGCTTGAATTCCTGCTGCAGCTGGTGGGAAGGCTTTTAGCAGTGTGACTCTGAGTGAAATAAATAACTGGGTGGGGTGGAGCCAGGAGTCCTTGAGGCCTTGGGAATGTCACTGCTGACAGGGCTGGGCCCCTCCTGGGTCAGCACTGATGGTACAGCAGAGGTTGCTGCTCTCACAGTGATCTCACCATGCTCAGCCTTTCCTGTGGGCTGATTTTTTTCCTCTTTCATTCTCCAGGGCAGATGGTGGCAACTGATTTGTTCTTTCTTTGTTAGCTTTTGTCCTCAGGCTTCTCAAATCTCCACAGGTGAGCCACAGGGTAGACCCAGATCTGTGACTGGGCTCAGCACGGGCCTGGCTGCAGGTGGGGCCCTAAAACGTGGGAGTGCAAGAAAGGAGTGGTCAGTGCTGGGACATCCCTCTGGTTTGGGAGGAAGAGGTTTTGAGTGCTTTATTGTCCTGAATCCCACCAGTAGCTGCTATACCTGCTAGCCTGCATCCTGCATTTCTTCAGCTGCTTTCTTTTGCTAGGGCTCCCCTTTCTTTCTCAATTTCATCTCTGATTGAGGCATCCCCATGTGTGCAGTTCTGACTTTTGCTGTACAAGTAATAAGTAATCTAGAATTTATTTAGGTAGTGGGAAATACACATGTAACATGAAAGCTCTGATGTTCAGCAGATGTGTCAGTGGCATGGTTGTACCTGTGCATGGTTCAGCATTCCCCAGTTTTATTAACAATGAGTATGTGATGGTGGAAAAAGGTATTGTTAGTGACAAATTTTTACTTCAGTTTTCCTTCAGGTAGTATTTGCATTCATACCTCAATACTAAGGCACCTTTCCTGAAGTTAATGATTGTCTTTGTCAGTAGTTGTTCAAAATGCAGCATGAAAGTTTAACTTTGCAGTTTCATATACATTAGTGACTACTAAGATGGATCTCATGAAATATGCCCCATTTCCTTCTGTAAATTGGAACAGAACATTAAAAAGAAGTTCCTGAAATGATTTATACAGTGACTTGTTAAATAAAATTACCTTTTTATCTGTACTAGTGATTCCCTACTCGCGCTTTTTTGTTTCTCCTTGTGCTTGTCAGCACTGTTCATCTTCTGCCTTTTCTGCATGCTGTTTACTACTCTGGTGATGTATCCATGCTATTTTTATTTATTTTTGTTGCCTGGCTTTCACAGGCCCAGCCCTTCTTGCCTTGCCCAGTTAGTGCCTCTGACTGCAATGCTTTTCCTCCTAGGTTCGTACGATGAAAGACAGCAATCCATCCTGGAAGCCCACTTTCATTGTAAAGCCTGATGGAGGCTGCCAGGGGGATGGAATCTACCTCATCAAGGACCCAAGTGACATCAGGCTGACAGGGAGCATCCAGAGCAGGCCAGCTGTGGTGCAGGAGTACATCTGCAAACCTCTGCTCGTGGACAAGCTGAAGTTTGATATTCGCCTCTATGTCCTGCTGAAGTCCTTAGAACCCTTAGAGATTTATATAGCCAAAGATGGACTTTCTAGGTTTTGTACAGAGCCCTATCAAGAACCCACTCTCAAAAATTTGCACCAGGTTTTTATGCACTTAACCAACTATTCACTAAATATCCATAGTGGCAATTTCATCCATTCTGCCAGTGCAAACACTGGCAGCAAGAGGACTTTTTCAAGCATTCTCTGCAGACTGTCTTCCAGAGGAGCTGATGTCAAAAAGCTCTGGTCAGATATAATTTCATTGGTGATTAAAACAATTATTGCACTGACACCAGAACTGAAAGTTTACTATCAGTCTGACATACCAGCAGGAAAGCCTGGGCCAACTTGCTTCCAGGTAAGTTGGAATTTCTGCCAGGAATGCAGTTACTTCTGTGCATAGATTAATTTTGTGGGTGGTTAATGCCTTTTCTGTAGGGTTTCTCTAGTTCTGGTGCTGCTCTCTGGTGGGAGCTCAGAGCTCCTCACCCAAGTCAAACCTCAATCTCCTGACCTGTGTTACTGCCAGCCCTAAGCAGATACAGAGGATTTTCAATGGCTGTAGTTTGTTAGTGACAGTTGTCACTCCAGATTCCATCTTCTACATGTTAGAAGTGAAGCTCTGCAGGTTCCTAACACAGTTTTGATCCTGGCAATTTCCAGACCCCCTCATCATGGGTGCCAAGATCCATGTTGGCTGATGCAGCATTCAGGGATGGGGTGCTGTGAAAGGAGCCATTGCCATGGGAGCCAAGTGGCTTCTGGAGTTATTCAGCACTGGAGAGTTTCTCAGTTAATTCTTTTCTGCCCCTCAAACGTTTATTCCTCCTCAGTGTTGCCATATGGACAAGCACTGCATTCTGCAGAACACCCTGGGTAGAACTGAAGTGACATTTTGCTTGTTATGCACAGATTTTAGGGTTTGACATTCTCCTGATGAAAGACTTGAAGCCTGTGTTACTGGAAGTAAATGCAAACCCCAGCATGAGAATAGAACATGAGCAAGAGGTAAGAGTTCTCAATGGGATACTGGAAGGAAATTGCTTAGGTTGGGTTTTCTGGGCTTTTTTCCTTGTTTGAAAGATGAAAGCTGTCTGCTAATATGAAACCTCCAAGGTTCTCTGTAATTTTCTGCTTTGAAATCATTGCTAATCTTATACATAGGAAATATGACTTATTGGAATTGTGAAAGCTCTCCATCATCTCTGTCATAAATGCATTTATTCATCATCTCCTGCAGTCGTTAATTGTGTTTAGGGGATTGTTAATAATCTTTTTCATGTTTGTATACATAATACAAATGGTAACATCAGCAACAATCTTTTTTATAATATTTCAGTTTACTAGAGGAATTTGTTGTAACATCATACTGAAAATGTGCAGGTATTTGTGCATCCTTGAAGAAGCATTTTGTAATCCATCATGGTGTATTTAAAATATAGATGAAGCACGTGGAGTTTCAGCACATGTGGAATAAATCACCCTTAGTTCTGTAGTGAATAACTGTGTCCCTCTGTGATGTAAAGCTTTCTCCTGGAGTGTTTGAAAATGTCCCAAGCCCTGTTGATGAGAAAGTGAAAGTTGCTGTCATCAGGGACACTCTGCGGCTGGTGGACCCTCAGAAAAAGAAGAGGAAGGATACTCAGTAAGTCTGCTGATTTTCCCTGCTTTTGCATCAGTGCCTTGCAATAAATAGAAAAATGAGATTGTTTTTCCCTGAGAAGGTCCACAAGCTGGTAGTAAATGAGGATATACCATTTTCCCTGGAACATCTTACTCTCAACTGGTGCAAACAGTTTAGAAACTCAGATTTATTTATTTATGCTTCTACTTGAGGCCTCTTTTTTTAATTCAAAATAGTAATGAGACATAAATTTGTGTATTAATTTGCTTGAATGTCACAAATTACTCTGAATGAGTTGCCCCATTGGAGCTGAAAAGTATGAATATTGTATTTAAAAATTGCTTCCTTAATCTGTGATAATAAACAGAGTTAAATCTATGATCAAGAAATGAGAAGAACTGGCTGCAGCAGCTTGCACAAGAATGCCTGTGGTGGGATCAGGCTGAGAGAAATCATATCTTTTTTTTAATTAAACACTTCATTTTAAGCAGCTCTTGAAGACATGAAAGGGTGATTTTTTTCTCTTATTTTTTTCCCTAGAAATTCTTGCTCATAGGTCTGCCTCCATGCTAAAGTATCCATTTTGCTCTTCTCTTGGCACTTAGTGGTGACTTGAAATGTTATTCAAATTCTATAATGATTTCAAGTGCAAATTTGCTGTCCTTTTGTAGACAGAGGCCCATGAACAAGACATGACTGATAATACTAACAGGTTCTGTATTACTGCAATATTATTATGAGATCAAACTCTTCCTTCAAAGGCAGTGCCACACAGAGAAGTTGCTGTGGTCAGTGTACAGAACGTTTTGCAAAGCGATTTATACTCTGTGCTGCCTGTACTTAACCTCTACCCTTAAAGATTACTTCAGTGCATGGAGCTGAAAAAGATCATTTTTTAACCTGTAATTATGTAACTAGTCGTGGTGGTTTTTTCTGCTGAAGTTATGTCAGGCATTCATTAACTTCATATTAGATATGGAAAAAAGGCAAGTGATAATTACAAATAAATTGCTAGAGGATGCCGGTGTGTGGGGAAGGCTCATTCAGCTGAGGATTCTTCTCTGATACATTTAGAGTGCTAAATAATTCCTAACAGGAATTATTTTTTTTTTACTGAACTGAGACAGTGTCTGCAACTTCCTGACCAAAACTTGGCCAAGTATTGACAGAAAAAAACCCAGAAAGAATTGCTGTTCTGACAGCTAACCAGCAGCAAGCCTCACAGACTCAAATTTGGATGCTAATTAAGTAAAGGGCATTAATCTCAGTAAGGTTTTAGCAATATATATAACATAGACTTTGAACACACAGGGGAAATACCGAGAAGTCTGAGCTGCATCTCAGGTAAATATTCTGCTGTGGAGAATTTGATTTCCTTCTAATTATCTCCCAGATTAAAATAAATGAGGCATCTAAATGAAAGTGAGTTTTAGAAGTCATCCTGAAGTACTTCATTATCAGGAAGGATTAATAGCTCAGAATTTTTTTTAGTTTAATTTTCCCTCATCTTCATGGTGTTTTGATATTAGTTTCCTCCTTCCTATCATGTGATGTATAATATTGGAAAAAAAAGTTAAGCTGGATAGGATCAGTTTATCATTCCACACATATTTCTTAATTTTTCCAACACAACTCCAATCTTTACATGCAGGGATTGGTAGTAACCATCTTGGCACTGCCAGCAATTAGTGATTGAAAATCTGCATTGATACATGTTCAAATCACAGTAATTAAATATACATGGTGGCTTTTCTTCCACAGCAGAAATTACCTTTTCCTAGTTTCAAGTCACTTATGTGGAACTCAAGTTTCTCTCATCATTAAGAAATGAAAATATTTAATAAAATCTCATGGCAGGCACTGATGTTTGCTGTGTCTGTGTGGCAGTGCTGTCCTCATGGATTTTAAGGCTTGAGCAGATGATGGCAAACATCCAGGCCATTGACATGGAGCTAACCCAGTGATTTGTGTGACTGACACTTGTCTGAGGCTTGTGTGGTAATTATTAAACTTGCTCTGGATTCACTCCTTACACCAGAGGTGCTGCTCACAGCCTGCTGAAGGTGGGAGAAGGCTTCAGCTAAAGGAAATTTGCACAATTAAGTGAATGGTCTAATGACACCGAACAACATGTAAAGTAAATCAACGTTACTTATGTAAACAGCAGTTTAATTAAGATAATCACTGATGCAAATCATTGTGTATGTTGTGCCTCCAACAGAAAATCCATTTCTAAAGGCTTTGCAAACTTCTATTTTTCTGTGCCTAATTTGGAATCTTGATAGTAGTAAAAAGGTTTTAGTTTCACTGTTTGCTTAATTATTAGCAATTTATTCTTCCTCAAATAGCAGTAGATTGGAGGAGCAGAAAGGAGTCTCAGTCTCATGTAAATGCTGTGTACTCTCCACTGGATGTCAGATGTTGGGAGGTATAAAGGCAAGCTGGCAGGATCATTTGGAGCAGGAGTGCTCAGCATGTTGTAGGAGGAACATTTATATCATCCCACAAGTGCTAATGACCTGCTTTCCTGTCCTGTCAAAAATATTTATGCCCTGGTTTATTAATGCTAATTAATCCAGCAATAAGGGCTCCTTTGTATTTCGGTTGCTGTTGTTTACTCTGTGTCCTAGTGTGATCTCTTGCATTTCCATGCCTGGTTTCTTACATATTTCAAGACAGAAAAGAACCATTTTATTCTTTTGATGAAGAAATCATAGCACTATGGCATATGTGTCATTAGAAATATGAGTTTATTTCTCATGGAATAAAATCTGCTTTTTCTCTGCTAGAGATGATGAAGGTGCAGCCCCTAAGTAATATAATGACTTTTATTCAGCTCTGAAATAGCCATTGACAGAAGAAAGAATTGAAACACTTTGGAAATGAAATGTAATTTAATCTATGGCTGTTACAAAAACAATCAATTCCTTGTGCCCTCCAAATGGAATGCTTTGGTTTATTACCTAGCACGCCCTTGCTGTTTCATTGCTAGTTTATCTTTCCTTGGGTGCTTTCTCTGTACATGCCACTGCAGTGCTTTTTTTCCATTTGAAACCAGCCTTGAAATTTATTTGTGATGTTCTGATTTTTTTTCTCCCTTCTTTTTAAAAGATGTCAGGTACAATTCTCTTCTCTGGGTCCTGTGGCTCTAGAAAATGTCAAATATGATTAACTAATTTCCTGAGCAGGAAGAAGCCCAATGTGGTTGCTCTCACATTTTTGCAAGATCAGCATGCAAACACTGGCTAATGTCACCCTGTTCTGTGAGCACCCTGTAAATATTAATGTCTGTCAGACTGACTTTTTTATTTTATTCTTTTGGTGTTAGGAAGAAATTCAGTCAAAACAAGGTTTTGTAGAAATTGCTACACAAAAGATCTTCCTCTTTTCTTGCTCAAAACAGGGTGGTTCATTTTTTCCACTGTGTTGATTACACAACTTTAGCTCTTGAAATGATTCCTTTCCATGATAGAGGAAAAAGTGAATAGTTTCTAGGAGGAGAATGGGATCTGTGTTTAATGAAAACATGAATTAATTTCTGGTCATTCTTTTGGATGTTCCAAAGGCGTTTTCCAAATCCTAATGCTGTTTTTAATTTCTTGATGTTTAGGAGCAATTTTGTACTTTCTTAAGGAAAGTCAGGAAATCACCTGTTCAGATGCATTCCATTCATTTTCCAGATATTTTTCTTCAGTTTCATAACCTCCCCTGATGTTAGAGTCATGTTTAATGGAAAAATGAAAATACACTGCAGAGATGTCTCGAGAGTGTGATTAGCCCAGATAGTGTTGGTGATAAAGTCATTCTTGCCGTTTATTACTGTGTTTATCTCACTGTGTGCCTTGTAGGGTTGTGACTGGGTGACAGGGGTGGCTGCAGAGGGTCAGAGGCTCCGAGCACAGACATGTGGAGAGGCTGGGGTGGCTGCAGCTCTCACTGATCAGCAAATAATGGCTGCTCCTCAGGCTGCCTGTACTGCAGCTTCCTCTGCTGCTGTGAGCAGCTGCGTTCTGCTCCTCAGGGATTCATTACTCAGGGCTGTCAGTGCCTTCTGCATTATGTGGGGTGAGTTTAGTGCCTATCAAAAGAAGCATGTAATAAACCCAGCTATGGAAATATCACTGTTTGGGTTTCCATTTGCTAATTGACTTTATGGGCTGACTGCCAGAGCTTTGGGTTGATTCCTGCATCCTGCAAGTCTGCTCAGGTTTGCAGCTATTCAGATGCCTCTCAAGCACCACCCCTTCACTCCAGCCTTCTTTCTGCCTGAGACTGTATCAACTCATATGTGTGGCTTTCTTGAGATTGATCTTCCTCCTCTGGTTCATTTTGGAGGCTGACACAATTCTTTTCTCCATCAGTCAAGATGACCCAGCGTTCATACTGAGGCTCATTCTGCCAAAGCCCTTTGGAAGCACATTGAATCAGCCCCTTTCTCTTTCCTACAGGGCTTTCTGGTTCAGTCCTTCATCAGGCAATCTGCCAGCTCCACTATCAATTCCTGTCTGTTACATTAGCCCAGGCAGCTTTTGATGACTTAGACATGTGAGGGAGACTTTTAAATGTGATGTTTGTCAATGTTCCTTCAGTTCAGATTACTGAAATGTTAACTCTGTTTTTCTGTAGTTGAGAGTATTTATTTCCACTGCTATTTCTCATCCTGCTCAAAGAACTTGCCTCAATGACTTTCTTCAGTTTTGTGAAGCAGCTGTTGTGCTATCTTGATCCTTGCTCTCTGTTCTTGCTTTTCCAATTATTTATCTGCTACATCCTTAAGAGCATTTAACCTTTCTCCCATTGATTAGGACAGGCCCTATTGGAAATTCTATGAACTACAGTGTGAGATGTCCCTCCATAAAGGGAAGGGTCTGCTAGTGCTTGACTGACAGAACAGTTCTACATTGGTTTTAAGAGCCACTTATGTTGTACTACATCAACAAAAAATACACAGTGCAGAACATTGGCAAATAATTTGAATGTGCTGTGGCAGAAGTCCCAGCACAGAAAAGATAATTAAATGT